TTTCAATTAGCAGGGTTTTCTGTTAATATGATTCTGTAGGACAAAATATTCAGAATTACTTTAATTATAGGCATGTTTCACAAATAGGATCAGCTACCATAGTGTCAAGATGGTGGCGGAGCGGAGTAACAGGTCTGCAATGCTTGCTGAGCCTGAGGATTCCGATGTTAATAAGACAGAACGTTAGTTAAAAAATTGCTGAGTTAGTGGACGAGGATTGGCACGTGTTCCTGCTCAGAAACGAGGAAGTGAGAGATCTTTGAAGATATTCTGAAAGGTTTTGTGGCAACAATGGCAGGGATTTCAGAGGAGCTGCTTGGAGATGCGCAAAAATTTAAAACGATTATTCAAAACCAGGAAGACCAACTGGATGCACTTGAGCAGTGTTTAAAGCGAGATAATGTTGTTATTAGAAGATTAATTTAACCACCAAAGGTAAGGGAATGGTGGGCACAACTGGAGTTGAGATTGAGGTAGCTGATTTTAGTTTAAACAACTTGTAGAAAGTATGTGACTTGCAAAGTGTATTGCTGCTGATGGTGTGTAATAATAAAACGTATTTATTTAGTTTATACTGTCTTTTAAAATTCCCACAGCTATAAACTCCACACTAAACTGGCTCATTATGTATACTTTTTTTTTTTTTTTTGAATAAAGAGTGCAAACAGACTTGTGATGTTTGGTTCTCCAAATTAAAAAAACAGGATTGTGATGTACTACCCCTCAGGCTGTATTGAACATAAACAGACAGATGCCTCACCCTTCCACTTCCCCCTGCATATTGTCCTGATCCACCGGTCTGTATCGGCGCTGAAGACAAGTCTTTGTGGTCTCACAACAGAGCCTCATCCATCTGTCTGAACCTTGAGTGTTTTTGGCTTTGGGTGCAAAACTGAGAGCCGAGCCACAGCTATGTCACGGAAACTTGTGAACTTGGTCTTGAACCCGGCCAAAGACAATAGATCAGATACAGACAAACACGATTCTAGCTCTGTGTTTTGTTCCATCTTCCTTTTGCTTTATTCTGCTCCCAATGTTTTCACTTCTACTCTTTCCTCCTCATCTGATAGTCAGCAGGTGGGCTTTTTGACCTCAAGCACACTATGAAAATAAGGTGCTGTATCCTCCCCACCTGTTATTTTCTTTTTTCCCTTTTAACTCTCCAGCACCTCTTTGATAAATGAGTAGAGATGATTCATATCCCAGGCAGATGTGTTTCTCTATCATTTCAAAGGATCCATTTAGATTTGTGGTACTAAGAATGATCTCTTTCCTGTCGCCTTTGTCAGGTTTCCCACAAGTTGGGTCTAGGCTTGCACACAGACTTGCTTGCACATGCCTGAAGTTACGCATGTTGCATCACCAACTGTCAGTCTGGGTATTAATTCATTCTGTGCAGCCTTTTTGTATGTATGCGAAATTATT